CCCTTTTTTTTTTTTTCCCCCCCTCCCTTCTCCTCCTTCCAATCAACTCGGTCCTCTTCACCACGTTTTCATCAACCTTTTGTTGAAATGTATAATCTTTGCTTGTTTTGAAATCAATACACAAAAACTGTGTTTGCTTCTTTGGTGGAGAACAGAGGGGTGAGGGTTAGGAAAGTAAAACAATTGACTGACAACAGCAGCAACAGTAATGACAACTGCAACAGCAGCCTGAATAAAGATACAAAATTTCTTAGTTTTTGTCTTATTCAATATCATTTGGAAAGAAGAGAAAAAGGAGTAAAAGTTTATTATAGAATAAAGTGAGAAGGATTTTTTTTGTAAAGAAATATCCTTTTTTTTTTTTCGGTTCCTTTACATAAGTTTTTTTGTTCGGTGTTTTTGCACGAAAAATTCATAGATATTTTACTGCATTTTCAGTGAGCCATTGTCATCCGAGTATTACCCAAAAAAAAAACAAGCTTTTGGCATCTGTAATTGTCGATATGATCTTTGAATTCTAAATGACTAATGGCCGACATTTTCATTTTTTTTTTCTGCCATTTTTGTGTTCTTATTATTGTTCTTTTAATTCTTTTGATTATCTTCAACTTTTCCTTTTTTTTTCCTTTTTTTGTTTTTGTTTTTTCTTTTCTGGTTTAACATCCACTAATTTTCAAAAGCTAAAATCTGAATGAACTTCAAAGCATTAATTAATTTAATGGTGTGAAAATGTTGGTGAGTTTATTTAGGCACACATCTTACCTGTTTGCTGGAAAATGTTTTGGTGTTCAGTGAATTCTTTAAACTGCTACAGATCGGCTACTAATTGCTACACACTCTAAAATTTGTATTATTCTTATAATGTCTACCAAATAGGATATGGTGAAGGAATTTTGTTGTTGCTGCCGTATTTTAGTGCCTGTAGATCATGAAGCTATTTGTCGTAAGAGGCCGAGAAAAGGAAAACAAAGTAGCTTATTTTAGGGTATTTTGCATTTCGTAAGTGCACGATTTCTTAGTGCGATAAGTGTCACTGTCATTTGGCCATTGTTTCTGCAAATCCCTCAGCTTATCAGAAAATGTTTGGATGAAAATGGCTTTTATTGAGCAGCTTAATCAAATTACAAAACTTGTTAAGCAAAAGAATTATTACAGTAAGCTGCAGAAAAGATTTATACTTAAAACCTGTGAAATCTCTAATACTATACATCAATGGTTGCAAAAAAATGATGGGATCATATAAGCTAAAATAAATTTACCAAAGTTTGACGTATAGTGAGGCATAAAATTGTAAAAGAACTTTTGTTTCCATAAACCCTTAATATAACATTTTTTTTTGAAACAATGTTCGGTTTTTTTATCAGTTGACATTTACAGCTATTTTATTTCGCTCAAAGAAAGGAGTTAGATTTTTGACTAAAGAATGAAGCTTTTATGTTCTGTTTATGCTAACACGCTATGATAACTTATTTGTTAATAGTTAATAAAGATTTGTTGGTTTCCAAAAAAGTTTTTGAGTAGGTAGAGAAAAAAAAAAGAGGAAATGTTGAATGTTGCAAAACTAAAGCACATTAGACAACTGCTATTTGTTTCATTAAAAAATTTGTTGAAAAAAGGTGGATATTAAGTTGCTGTTATTTGTGAAGTGTTTGCATATTTTGTTTCAATAATGAAAACGATGTTATATTTTCGTGATTATAACGTCAGTAATGTGACATTTTTACATATTAATAATGACAATTTCAGAGCCAATAAAAACAACAGATATTTGGTAAAAGTAGATGATATTGAAATGAAAGGAAAGTCCAAATGTCTGTTGGAGAAGATGGGCCAAGTAAATGCAGCCGAAAAACTGCGTTAACTTTATTTTTTGCTGCTGAACTCTTTGCATTTACGTTCAGTTTAATTGCTCTATTAAGTCCAACTTGGCAGTACGCTAACCTTGAGGTTGGTTAAGCTTTTTTTAAATATACTTTTTAAGTACGTTGATTTTGGTATCGTTTGGCATGGACTTTCGCAACCAATATATAATAGTAAAATCTCTTAGAATGGACGTACGGAACATCATCATGGATTGTGGTTGGATTGTAAACGTGATTACTCTCATGAGTATGGTCGAAATCGAGATTTCTATGAGACATTAAACAAGTAACCTACACTTAGCTGATTTTTTAAAACAGCATATTAATGCTAAAATAAGTATAAAAGTTATTAAAAGCAACAATGAGCACAAATTCTTTTTTAAGCTTCAAAAGCAGTAATCATTAATTTTGTCTATTTAGGCTTGACGTACAGCAACATCCGTTTGATCATTTCTTTCTACCTCCATTAGATTGCGTCTACAAATTTGATTATTATATTGATACTGAAGATTTATATGATCATAACCATGATGAAAATCGTCTGCAAGATGATGCTAATCAACACCTTTTTCTTGGTAAGTTGTTATTTGTACTGCAAAGTAAATTTTAAATTGGCATTGCATTCCACTATTATGGTTACTAACGAGCTTTTTTATTCACAGACCGATTGTATTTTGCTTTCTTAGTCACTGAAAACAACTAATTGTTTTTTA